TAGTGACTGCCTGGTTAAATACAGAAAACAGTTGCCTGGATTGCCTCATAAAATAAGAGAACTGGTTGATCTGCTATTAAAAAAAAAAAAAAGAAAAGTCTACACTATGGGTACTAAAATATTTTCTATAATACGAATATCTTTTCAAAATCAAAGTGGACAATGGGACCTGTGTTTATCAGTACATGTAATTGAAAACACTTTAGTAGGTGTGTGCAATTTTGGTCACTGGAAGAAAGACTGCCAAAAAGTCTCCAGCTAAAACGATAAATAACTGATGCCTATTCTTTTTATTTTTTTGAACTCTAATAGTGATTGGTTATTTGACGAGAAGTGCTCTGCGTGTGGAAATGAAAATGAAAGTAATTTGAAGAGATTACCATCTTCCCTTAAGCATTTCTTTTAAGGTGGCTTGAATTGCTTATTGCTAGCTTGCTTCCTCCAGAATAGTTTTAAATAATGATCAGAAAACAAGATCCCATCTTAGATCTTAGGACAAATTACAAGAAAAAGAAACAGCAGTGGTTACTGGCAGTCTGATGTGTGGCTTCACCCTCCTGTCAGCCCGAGTTGTTTATCTGTGACCACCAAAGAGCATTTTCTGTTGCTTGCGTTGCCCATGTTCTAGTCTTGTCTTTGGTGTGGATTGTTTGGGAGCTGACCAGAGGCAGCCTTTGTTTACTGTCCCCTCTGCCTGTAACTGGTCTTCTTGATGAGCCCGACCCATACTTTCATTGTCCTCCGTGGTGCAGCATTTCTGTAGCAGCCTGATTATATATAGGACCCACATCCATGTTAGAATTAGGTTCCATAACTAGAGTCTCGCATTGGGTTTTTACAACTATTCATAAACATAGAGAAATGGGAACCACTTCTTCAGGAGTCTTTGCTTCTGCAAATGGATATGAGAAAGAAACACAAATCTACTGGATTGGAAGGCATAAATTCTGATAATGACATTACTATCCCCTCATTCCGGTATTTTTTTCTTGTTAGTTTTGTGAGCTCAGGCAAGTTACTTAACCTGTGTTTCTGTTTCCTCATTTGCTGAAAAGGCAAATGTCTCCATCACAGGAAGGATGTAAAGATTGGATGAGGTGACACTGTAGGCTGTCCAGAGTGGACCCTGCCACCTTTCTGGGAAGGTCGGATCGACTTCTCTGTCTTCACTCTTCTCGCCCAGCAGGAGTAGGGGTAAAAGGACCAACAAATAAAAACTAGTTCTTCTTTATTCAAAGTTAGTATCTTCAGTAACATTCTCTTCCAGCCTTCCCACTCAACCTGGTGCACTATTGCATTGTCTTTTGCAGCTTCAGTTCCCTGTATGAACAAAAGGTTCATGTCAAATCTAATCAGATAAAGGGAGGAGATCAGGAAAAGGAGAAATCCTTTTGTCTCCTCTGCTTTCCCTGAATCCTACTTCCTGGGCTTGCGCAATGAACTCAGCCAAGGAATTGCTTTGAAAGGATCATTTAGACCTTCCTTCTCTACCCCACTCTGTGGTCCATAACTGCTTACCAGCTGACATCTCCTTCTATTACTCTTCTGCTTCTGCTATTTTAAGTTTCTCTTAATTCAAACTAAGTTCTTAAATTTACATTTAATGTGTATGGATATTCTGACATCCTTGAATAACAGAACCATCCAATAAAAATATAGTGCAACCCACATGTGATTTCAAATATTCTAGTAGTGATTTAAAAAGTGAAAAGCCACTTAAAAAGTGAAAGGTAGTAATAGATTTTATTTAATAAAACATATCCAAAATACTATTTCAACAAGTCATGAAATACTGTCAGTTTTCATGAAATGTTTCATTGTCTATGGGATCCAATATGTGTTTTATACCTATGGCATATTTCAGTTTGGACTCCAAGCACTTGATGGCCATGTGCAATTATCAGTTGCTATATTGGGAAGTACACGTCTACAGCATTTGGCAGAATTTTTCCGGCACTCTTTTGTAACTCTTGAGGCAGCTGTTTATTTTAATCGAACATCCCTGATTCTCCTCTGCAACTCTGCTTGTATTCCTTTCTATCTCTTGTCACCTTCTGATGGATGCCATGACTCATAAAAAAATCTGTCGCACTTTTACTCTAAAGTAGTTCTATCTCCTCCGAGTACCTAGAAGCCATGTAACACTGATAGAATGACCAGAGGCACAAGGTGGGGACTGGGAAGAGAAAGGAAAAATGTGTTCATTTTCCCCTGTGGTCTGCCAACACCCAGAATCAAGTTTCCTTTGGATGATTTTGCTCTTCCTTCCTTTCCACGTCCTCTTAAGCTGTGACTCATGCTGTCATTCTGTTACAGGGACCACATTATACTGAAATGTCCCGAGGCATCATTTACCACACTAATCACTCAGGCTCTTGGACAGCAGCTGATATAATTTAAAAGTTTATAAAAAGTGCACTTGGAATATCTATGCAGCTGTCTGCAGTAACTACTTGCGGGATGCAATGACTGATTTACTGAGTGTCGGAGTATTGTGGGTGACAAGCCCTTGGTTATTTAGCATGTCTTATTTTAGCCCGAGAAGAACTCTGAAAGCCTATTTTGTGCGCATCCCACAGCGTACGTGGTAAATTTGATCTATGAGGCTGCTGTGTGTGTGTGAATGCCTTGTGATGAGATGTGGTACCCACACAATGATCTACTTCCATGTTATATGCCAACTTGTTTTATGTTTCATTCTAGGATTCATCTGACAGTAAAAATATCTTGATATGGAGAGTTAACATGCTTTAATAGGAAGATATGTGGAGAGAATGTACTGAATATCACCTCAGTTCTTCCTCTACATTCTGTTGTAGGAAATAGTATTGCTTTATGTGAAGAGTGCATTGTGGGATTTAAATAATATTGGCCCAATCTAGGAGATGAGGTCAGTCGACACCAATTAAAAATCAGAACAACTTACTCCTTCCCTGGCTTTCTTCATTGCATTACAAGCTTTTGACTTACAAAATTTAATGGGATTATCTGAGGGCTGGAGCTTCTCACCTGTTTTGGGAGATTAGCAAACACCTGTTGTATCATGTTTCATCCACTCAGCTTCTCTATTAACTGCCCCTTTTAAAGCATTGTTGAGATTTCTAGGTCCCTCCACTTTAAGAGTAAATAAACCTTGCTCCTAATGCTTAATAAAATAAAATAAATGATCCCTGAAATTTAGCTATGTGGATAATACACTGTACTTTGAGGGAAATCTTAAATCACTCTTCTGGTTGGTTTTATATGGATTTATAACTTTTGTGAGAAATTATTTTGTTTTATAAAAATTAATAAATAAAAGAATAAATTTTATAGGTCTTGGTAAAATATGTTCCAGGGGTTCTAATATTATATTATCTCCTTCTAACCGAAAACCAGAAAAGCAGATTGACTTCATGAATACAATATTTTAAATATAGAAACTACTACTAGATGTATATATTACCAAGTATTCTCAAAAAAATGAGGCATATTTCTTTTTTTTTGCCATTATTCTTTTTTTTTGCACTGATATTGAACAAATATTATGGATAACAAAGATTTGCAACTAAAAGAAAGCTGAGGAAGCTCCCTTGTTGGAAACTCCATGTTGAAAGATAAGGATTGGTGCAGAAATTTTGCTCGTGTTATCAACTTTGTGATATCAGCCATTTAATATTCCCGGAGGGTGCTATTCTAGGGGAGCCTCTAACTATTGGCTTTTGTGGTATGTGCATGTGTGGGGCACTTTTATTGTGAATTTCAGATGTAATTTAGCTTTCCTCTTAGCCTCATGCTTCATGTATTTCTCTATATTATAAGATTTGGAAAAATTTCTATGGCTATTACAGGCAGGACAACCAAGGTTTGAGAGAGACATTTTATCAGACTTAGACTGTCCTAGGGATGGGCTGGGAGGTATTCATTTTTCAGGTTTTAAGTCATTTCCCGGAGACAGGAGGGCAGGACTTTAGGTTCTCCAGTGAGGAAGCAGGACACAGTAGAAAGAAAATGGGCTTTGGAACCCTGTAGACTTTGTGACAAATCTTGACTCTGCCACTTACCACACGGTCCTGGCTATGCTGCTTAATTTCTTCAAAATTTACTTAAATTGTCTGAACAGTGATGTATACTTCTTAGACTTGTTGAAAAAAATAGAGGTGATGCTCAAAATCAACTAGAAAACTGTCTAGCATTTGGTACTCCCTAAAGAGTCCTGAAGATAACGCTGCACAGGATTTGATAGTAAAAAGCCCAACCCTCATTATTTATTTGAAATAAAGAAACTATCTTAAAGTCCTAAATATAGGTCCCATGTTAAACTATGGCATCATTTAAAAGTATGTAGTTTCAGATACTGGAGCAAAGTTCAGAGGTGGAGCACGTGTTAAGCTTATATGAAGCCCTGGATTCAATTCCTAGCACACACACATGTAAAAAGTAAAAATGTGTGCCTTCTTTCAAGTTCTTTGATATTTGTCCTTTTAGTAATGTGTATGACTTACACCATAAATTAAGGCTACATGACTGTGAGTCATGCCTTTACCCATTTATAATGTTGATGACTTTAATAACTTTTCCATTTACTTTCAGAATACAGATTTCTAGCAATGGCAGTAAACTACTTTTCAATTGTCTTTTTTATGGTGAAGATATAGCTCTACATACGCTGTTTAATATCTCTATGTAGTATTTGTATCCAGGGAAGAAGACATGTTTAAAAGAATACATGATTTATGGGCTGCTTAAGAATCCACTGTAGTTTTTTCCTTGAGATTTTGAATTATTTTCTTCATGCTATGTAATGTCATTTTAATACTTAAGGAGATTATTTTTTTCTTTAAGCACATAGAAGTTGAAATGATGAAAAGAAAAACTAGGTCATGTTAATATAATGTGAGATTAAATTCATATTAAGAAAAATTAAAAGAGCTTAAATTTTCAAAGATTGCAGAATTGGTTTCTTCTCCACTTGTCCTGATCACTTGAATTTTGATTTAGCCTTGTTGCTTCTTTCCTAGGTTACTTGTTGGTTTCAGAAAACGATGAGAGATTTGCAAGAGCAAAGTCTAGGTGTATCACTTTCAGACAATGAAGAACTGATTTCTAAACATGAGAAATTGATAATGAAAGCAAAGGTAAGAGACACTGTCCACATTAAAAATAATTTTTAAAATGCATACATTCCTCTTGAAATGCTTATATGAGTAATTTGGAGGGAAAAAAACTCACAAAAAACTGTCTTTGAATAACTTAACATTTAGAGAAAAGCTAATACCATCCTGCTCATTGCCCCAGCTCAGGGAATAATAATAAACAACAGCTTCTCCAATAATTACATCTTTTGACTAGTTACTATGCACCAGTTACTGCTTTAACTAAGTATATTAGGCACATTATTTAAATTATCACAGAATTACTAAGGGATATTTTTTGTTGTTGTTTTGTTTTATGGATTACATCTCCAAGGCTTGGAGATGCAAAGCAACTTGACTGCTGTCATGTGGCAGTGGCAGTGTTGGCTAATCAAGGCCCAAACTCTTAAACATCATACTTCACTCACTTTCTATGAAACTCATTTTGTCTATGCTGAGATCTCACCACATTTTTACTTTTATGGTTTCCAGGTATGGTTGGATCACTGTTCTCACATTTCCTTAGCTCCTTAACTTGCTTAAGCTTTGTCGATTTTGCAAAAACAAAGGCTGCCAGCCAGGCACTGGCTTGTGGGTGCGCGGAAAGTGCCAAAAGGGAGCCCCAAAGCCTGAGCAGCGCAGCGGCTTAGCCAGGGTCATGGCCCTCTGCCCTGCATCTTGTTAGCTGGAAATCAGACTCATCTGTGTGTGTGGGTGCTAAAACACTTTCCAAAGCGCTTTGCAGGAGCTTCATATTGCTCTACAAGAAAACAAAACTCCATCACAGTCGATCAAGTAGGTGCAATAGTTGGTGGTTGTAGGTAAAACTGCCTTGTGAAACTGGAAAATACTGGGCCAACACTGCTAGACCAGTGATTGAAAGTGGGCAAATGGTAGTTGATGGACTGGGAGGGGGCAGCAGATTGCATTTATTTAGACTTAAATCTTCTCATAGGGATTTTAACCCATTCTTGCTTTGTTTTGTGTTAGTTTCTTCATTCTGTTTGAACATTGGAATGTATTGTAGATGTTTAAAATGTTTGGTTTGTGTATTTAACTCATAGAGGAAAATTTTAAGGCTGTTGACCTGGTAAGGACTGCTCATTTTTGTAGTTCTTTAAAATTTTTCAGAATTATTTTATTGGCTTAGGAAGGTAATGTTTTCATTGACATTTGTGTTAATGTTCTATTGTGTGAATGAACAGTAGATTATTGGTTCCTAAAGATATCTTATTTGCTTCCATATCTGGGAAATTTTTAATAAGACTTATAAATATCATGTGAAAGCTTTTGTGTGTACATGGATTTTCGATTAATTGAGTAAATATCAAGGAGTGTAATTGCTGTATCACATGATAAGCATGTTCGGTTTTATTAAAATCTCAAACTCTTCCAAAGCAGCTGTTCTGTTTTATATTTCTACTTGCAGTGGATGAGATTTACTTCTGTCCCACATTTTTGCTGGTATGTGATACTGTGTTCTGGATTTTGGTCATTCTAACACATGTGTAGTGGTATGTTACTGTTGAATATAGATCGCCTAGATATTATCCTTGTTAACATATCTTTTAGTACCTCTGGCTTATTTTTTAATGATGCTGTTTGTTTTCTTGTTGAGTAGAAATAATCTGTGAGTAAATTTTTATCCCAAGTGACTCACTGAAAATTTCACAACTATAAAAAAAAAGAAAGTTAATACTTCAACTGAAAGATTATAAATGTTTGGAAATGACCTTTCAGTTATTCTACACAGCATCTTAGAGGCACACATCATTAGAATCATGTTCTTTTCATCATTTAAAAGTTTATTATAAACATACTTCTGTTGATCTACTACCTTTTAGGAGAAAAATACTCCATTATATGATTAAATTCAAGTTGGAGAACTAAACATTTTATTATACCTTCTTTGTAAGCTTTATGAATAGCCAAATAACTATTATTTTTAAAGATACTAATCCTTTATGAACTCCTTCTTGTTCCAAATAAGTTTTTTAGGGTTTGAACTACTCAGAATGTCATACAAAAGCTGAATATTGCCTTGTGCACCCAGTGGTTTTCTTTTTTGTCTTTTTATTGGTACCGGGGATCGAACTCATGACTGCCTGCTTACAAGGCAGGCGCTTATGCCACTGAGCTAAATCCCCAGCCCCAAACTCCAGTGGTTTTCAAGTTAAACTGTATTTGAAAACTGAGGCAGAGAATCCCATTTTTCTATAGCATTATTGATCATAAATTTATTTTTAAAAATAAATATTAGTTTTTATTAACTGAAAGTTTCTCTTTATTTCTTCCTGTAAAACATTCTTTTTGATGCAAGATTTTTTTTTTCCAAATCATTGGAATCCCCATCTCAGTATCATCTTTGGGAATTACCAAAATATCAAACAGCTGTTTATATTGGATCAACAAAACAGAGAAAAATATTCAAACATAATTTGGTTTTTTTTGGGGTTTTTTTTTTTTATTTAAGGAGAAAAGAAAAAAAAAGTGAAAGGGTACAAGTTATACAGATTTACAGAAGAAAAAAATGAACAGTAGGAAATCACTAGTTAATGGATTACATATTGCCATCTTAGAAATAATTGTTCAAGTCACAAAATTAAAGCTTGTAGAGTGGACATTCCAACAATGATACTGCAAACAATTCTGTTCAATGATCCAATAAAACTCTGTGATATCATTTTCTATCTTATACACTTAAATATACATGCAGTTATATTGTTTAGAGCACTTTCTTTTCCTCTCTTTTGTACAATGACTATTACACATTTTGGGTTTCATTGCTCCCACGGTTCTTATTGCTTTTTTGGAAGAGAGTAAAACCAAATGTGACATAACAGAACAGAATCGGTCAAGTCAAAAGGGTGGACATAATAGATAATATAAAAACATAATGCAAGGTGATCAACAATGGTTACCATAATGCCTCCCACTATCTCTAATAGAATTGCCTATATCATTAGTTATAATACAATTGAACAAAATAGTAAAGAACAAAACTGACAAAACCAAAACATTGGAGACATTGTAGGTCTTCAAAAGTAGATAAAAGTCAACGAGAATGGGCGTTATAATGAATCTCATTATCTTCTCAGCTGATGCCTAAACTTTTGAACCTGATACTATCCATCAAAACAGAATAGGGGAACATCAGTCAAAAACAAGGTGGTGAGAGTAATACAGGGCTTCAAATCGAGATAATAGAAAGTCAAAGTGGGTTACTATATTATATCCTGCTATTTTTTTCCCTTTAATTAAACGGATAAAAATAAAAAAGTAAATAATGGAGTGGAGATTGAGAAAAAAGAGGGCATAACAGCGAAACAGCGCAGATCAAAACATAACCATTTAAGCAGAATAGTGTTTCACCACCAGATAATTCCGACCTAAAAGTAGTTACCATATTGACTCTTTCCTTGAAGTCCTTGAGTACAACTTCGTATACTGTAGCATTAAGTATATCAAAACAATGTAAAACCATTTAAGAGAATGACAGCATTACAGAGTATTTAGAATCGACTAACAGAAAATGAACAATGGTTTCTGTATAATCTCCTTGTCTTTAAAAGGTTTTTGCTTATACTATCATACATAATAAAATCCAATAAGATACAACCTGTTTAGACCATTGGAGACAGAAGAACAAAAGCTAGATGAGACTTCAAAACAAGATGATACTAAATCAGTATTACCTATTAAGATGTCATTTTCTCTAAAATAGCTGTTCCTATCATCCAATCTTCTCTGCCTCATTTCTGTTGAGCTCTTTTTCTGTCAGTAGCTGTCAGTTTGTCTTCTTCATTTTGTTCTCTGCTCCATTCGTTGTGGCCTCCCCGCCACTATTTCTGGGTTCTTTGTATTTTTCTTTTTTTAGAATATCCTGCAATACTTTCTGTAGGGTTGAATTGGTGGTTGCAAATTCCCCCTGTTCCTCTTTATCCTGGAAGCACCTTGTTTTTCCATCAATTTCCAGGGATAGTTGTGCAGGATATCTCAATCTTGGCTGGAGATTATTATCTTTCAAAGCTTGAATTATTTCCCCCCATGCTCTTCGTGATTTGATGGTTTGTGCAGAGAAATCTGCTGTAATTCTGATGGGTGTTCCCTTGTAAGTGGTCTGTTTCTTTTCTCTTACAGCTTTTAATATTCTGTTCTTGTATTGAATTTCTGGAATTTTTATTATTATATGCCTGGGTGTTTCTCTGTTAGGGTTGTAGGTAGCTGGGGTCCTGTATGCCTCGTACATCTGAGTATCTTTACCTTTTGCTAAATTAGGAAAATTCTCCTGGATTATTTCTGTGAGTAGCTTTTGTAGTTCATTTGTTTGTGTCCCTACTTCTTCTTTTATGTTCTTAATCCTTAAGTTATGGCTCCTCTTATCATCTTCTTGTCTTTGTATTATTGCTGTTTGTTTCTTTGTTATTTTTAAGAAGTTTTTCACTTCATTCTCCCATATTACAAGTCTGCCCTCCAGCTCAGATAGTCTGTCCTTAGTTTCTTTCAAGCTGTTATGCCAGTCTTGGATAGACTTCTTAATTTCTTGATAGTCCCTTTGAACCTGCTTCACGTACTCTATGCTTTCTCTGTTTTCTCCATCAAACAATTCTCCCCTCTTTTTCTGTTCTTCCATTCCACCATCTGTTTTTTCCTGGGTGGTACTTAGCATTTCTCTAACTATTCTGCATACTTCTAGCTTCAGGTCGTTGATAACTTCATTCCTGAATTGGTCTATGAGGCTCTCTATATGGCGCTTAATGTCTATTGGTGCGGTGTCCGCTATTGCCTGTTTCTCAGAATTGGGGGCCGAGGAGCCTTTCTTGTTGCTTCCCTTCCCCATATTCTCTGTTCCTTATAAAATGCAAGCTTACATAGGAGGCCCAGCTTCCTTGCCTGTCAGCCACAGCCTGATCAAATTGTGCTGGCTAGATGTTCCTGCCCACCGCTGCACACCAGGGAGTTACAGACTAGGCAGCCTACGTGGGAGTCACCCCTCCGGGCCA